CTAATATGTTATTGTACATAATATTTAGCATCTATAGTGATAAATTCAGCTTGCCGAAACAAAAAGTCGCGTCCAACTTTATATTTCCTGGCCTACAAATTGACAAAAAAACCGAAGTAGGTACGAAAATTGTGTATTAATGTTGTTCTAAACTAATTTATAAACAATAAAATGTGTTTTAAATTTTACTGAGATACTACTAAAATATTTTTTGCCTCTCTTTCGTCCTATGTTTCTTTATATGGCATTCTGGTTTATTTTCCTTTAAGGCGTGTTTCACAAGACATCTTCATTCACTAATGACGCAAGTTCAAAAAGTCAAAGCATCCTTAAATAGCGAGGGAGTGAAGGAAACCAGTTAACTTTTACGACCTAACCACTTATGCCCCAATCCTCACATTCGAATAAGAACAAATATTTACACAAGTGTGCAACCACGAATTCGAATATCAAACAGTGAGCTTTGTAGGAATAGGCTCGGGAACTCGAACCGACATCTATTTTGAATGTCAAACCGCGAGTAGTGTGTTTATTGACAAATAAATAGTAAATATCGATTGACTTATAACGCACAGCGTATGATGATGTCATTCACGCGACATAAAATGAATGGTAATAATTTTCATTGCTGTTGCATGTCGTGTATATTTCTTATTTCACGGAATCAGCATAATGTGTTGTTTTAACAGGTATTGTAAGGGGATATTCTCGCAGTATTATATCCCCTTATCTTCTTTACTTTTATCATTGTCATTTTAATAGTACTTAGAAAAAAATAATCCTGTTTTTGATAATAAGAGCCATTTCTATCCAAATAAGTAAAAATGTTCAGTGGTGTTCTAATTTTGTATCTGCCAAACCCAACGTTCTGTTGTTGTTTGTCCAACTATTGCTTTACAATCGGAAATAAAATGTTTCATATCATTTTTTCTAAGTATAACAGTAAATAGACAAGGGGACTACTAAAATCAAATAAGGTCATGGGAAACTAAACGAGCCCTGGGATTTTTCGAATCCTCTGTTTTTGTATCTCCTACAAAAAAGTTCAATTGAATATTCAAAACTAAACCACTGTTTTGTTTCTGTTATTTCTAGCTAAAGACAAACAATAGTAGTCAAATATTGTGTCTTCTTGTTAAATTTTACACCACAGGCAAAGAAATCATCATGAGACGAAATGAAAATACCGTGGGGTGCTATTAAATTAGAGGGTTGAAATTGAAGATAGGGGTGAAAATGCACTTTTGCAGTTTTATTAAATATAGCACGAAAACGAAGCATAATTTCGGTATAGTTCATAGGAAACATTTTGTAGAGAATTGTATTTCCCATCAAACTGGCTTATTTAAAAAATTAAAACGAAAAATTTTATGCAAAAAATCGTTAATAAACAAAACAAAAATTTTTTTTATTGTTTTCACTTTTTTGACTAATTTTTTATTTTAGTAGAAGTAGGCAAAGAATATTACATTNAACAAGTTATTTTTCAAAACTACCCTTTTTCTTCTCTGAAAAAAAATTTTATTTATTTATTTTTTTTTTTCATCAATTTAAACGTTATTTGCGTTAAAAATGTGAGAAAACCTAAAAAAATTTTTTTCCCCATTTTAATCATAATTATCATTTTCCATTAAAAGTCGGATATTTCGATGAAAAATGGTCGTATCGAAATTTGAAAAAGGAAATTGATTTTTTTCCAAAGACGGGAAAAAAAAATTTGCAATTTTTTTTTGTCGCGCTATTTCTTAGAATTGCATGATAACCGTAGCTCCTAAAAAAATTCTACCGAAAGATCTAAAAACTAGAACCTTAGAGCTTCAAAATGCTTTTTTTTAATTCCCGTTACGATCATTTTTCAACTAAATACAGTCTGTCAAAAATCACGGAAAAATGTCGGAAATTCTTTTGACCATTTCATTAATATCTGCAGTGAATTTGCACCAATTTATATTTTCTTTAAATTTTAATTTTAAATATGTTTGTATTAAAGTCATAAACTACTAAACTGCCAAAGTGGATTCTACACAGATCTGTTTTGGAGATAATATTTTAGGTCTCCATTAAAGGAATTGGTTAGCTGGTAGAACAAATAGATTCCCATAACCTATATTGTACCTTACAGATACGTAAGTAAGTATAGGTAACAATTTAACTATACGTTTATTTAACCAAATATTAATCGAGACTCAATATATTATTGTTTTCAATTATTGTAATCAAACCACTGCATTTAAACAAAATTTTCACTAAAATAACCGGATTAACGAACACTTGTGAAGTACTACACGTCATACGAGATAACTTAATAGGGACGATGGGAATAGACAAAGACAACGCACGACAACCACAGAATAGGGTGGATAATAGATCATTTACTTCGATTTAGCTACAAGTGCACCAAATACGAGTTTATTTGCAGAATTTATTTAATGGGTACTTTTTTATTTGACTGAAGAAACTCAGTTTCAGTTCAAATATTATCACAAATGAGTAAAATTATCAAAATGCTCAATATTGAGTGAAAAAGTACTCAATAATTTTACTCACACTGATTTTTTTACAGTGCATGTTGTCTTAAAATAATAACAATTATTATATATTAATTTCAAACGCTCGGAAACGTCACGGGCAATTTTTTCCTTTAATTATTTTCGTATTTCCCATGCCTTTGTCCCGTTGCGTCTATTGACCCCAGTTTCCAACATCTCGACAGATTCAATTAACCGTCTGCACAAAAACGACTTTTTTATGTAACGTCACCTATATTACGTTACCCTATGAATATAAATATCATTTTTCTAACACATACATTCCCATTCGTTGTCCTTTAAATATTATATTCGGACATCGATTTCTATTTATTGGATTACCTACGAATAAATTCGATACAAAATTACGTCTATAGGTATTAATTCAGTGTAGTTTATGTCATATGTATATGTTAAACCTGGTGTTATAACTCTATTTGTTTTCCAATAAACCTTTAAATATTCATGAAATTTGTCCGATCTACAGTGAATTACTTTTTTCTATTGGCAACGTCGAATATATTAGAGAAGGAATTGTCTTAAGGACTATTTTCCGTTTGCGTGGGCGAAATATCACCCATAACTTACCGACCGACCGGACCATCGCCCACTTTGTGTGAATTAATATTTATACAGTTCGACGAAAGTATTCCTTGGAGTTCCTTTAACGAAGAGAAATAAAGTTGCATCATCAGTTTATGTATTTTTTTTTTCGGGAATATTAAAATGTGGTTAACTGGTTAAATCTTAGTCGAGATTGTCGGTTGAAATTTCTGTTAACTTTATTTTGAAACTTCAAGTGGTCAAAGTCGACGTTCGATCGCGTGTAACGAGAACGCCTCGAAACCTGGGCGAATCTGGCGCTGAATAGGGGTGATCCTTACAGTTTTTTCTACGAGGATAATGACGTTGTGTGGCGCGGCTTCTCGGTCTTCCACGACGTCGTCCTCTAGCGTACCCTGGCGCTGCAATACTTCGGTTGTCAGAGCTGTTTCATAGGCTATTTATTATAAGATTTTAAAAGGAACGGACGTTCAGGATATTTTATTACATGAATCGTTCAGATGGTCATTTTAGATGAAAAAACCGCGGAGTGCTATTAAATTAGAGGGTGGAAATTGGAGATAGGGGTGAAAATGCACCCTTTGCAGTTTTTTTTATTGTAGCTCGAAAACGAAGCAAAATATCTCTATCTCATAGAAAAAATTATTTAGAGAATTGAATTTCCCATCGAAATGACTTATTTAAAAAATTTAAAAGGAAAATTGCCTCTAGTTTTTTTTGAGTAAAGGTAGGTATAGGCATTGCTTCATCTACAAAAAAGTAGATACAATTTCCTTCAAAATAAGAGGTTGTAAAGTATTTTTGGATGAAAATTGACTGATATATGACCGCTCAAACTTAGCCAAACGCGAAGAAAATCGAAAAATTGGCTAATTGTAAGTTTGAGCGACCATATATGAGTCAATTTTCATCCAAAAATACTTTACAACCTCTTATTTTGATGCAAATTTTATCTATTTTTTTTGCTATGAAGCAATGCCTATACCAATCTTTACTCAAAAAAACTAGAGGCAAAACAGTAAAAAATAAATAAAAAAATATAATTTTCTGCTTTTTTTAAAATTGTTTATTAACGATTTTTTTCCATAAAATTTTCCTCTTAAATTTTTTAAATAGGCCATGTCAATATTAGTCCAAAAACTTTTGAAAACGCATCATTTTGAAGGGAATCTCGTTTGGTTTTTTTGTAAAGCAATTTTTTTGCTTTGCCTACTTTCTACTAAAAAAAAATAGTCAAAAGTAAAAAAAAATAAAAATCTAATTTTTTGCCTTTTTTTAAATTGTTTATTAACGATTTTTTCCATAAAATTTTCCTCTTAAATTTTTTAAATAGGCCATGTCAATATTAGTCCAAAAACTTTTGAAAACGCATCATTTTGAAGGGAATCTCATTTGGTTTTTTTTGTAAAGCATTTTTTTTGTCTACTTTCTACTAAAAAAAAATAGTCAAAAAAGTAAAAAAAAAATTAAAAATCTAATTTTTTGCCTTTTGTTAAATTGTTTATTAACGATTTTTTCCGTAAAATTTTCCTCTTACATTTTTTATATAAGCCATTTCGATGGGAAATTCAATTCTCTAAATACAATTAAAAAACTGAAAGAGGTCTTTTCAAAAAGTTATGTGAAGGAATGAAGATATCGAAAAGTAAATACTTTTGAAATTTGAATTCGAGGAAATAAATTATGTCACGTCACTGGGAAATAAATGTTTGTTTCGAAAACCAGTTTATATTATAACAAATTGCTATTATTTTTACTTCCGCTGTTGAATACTGAGTTTTCGCGGATAAAATTTGTAGGTTACCCGCCTAGATATTCCTAGTTATTTGACTATACCTTTATTATAGAACTACCTCCACACCATAACAGCAGGATAAAGTTGAGCAATCAGATAACAAATTTACTCACGTTGTATCTATTTTTCTCCTTCAACAACTTAAGTTCGTCGGTGGCGTTGTTGCTCTGGGGTATCCTCTTCCTCCATTCGGACTCCCCTCGCTCCTGCAGCTTCGCCCTCAGATCGGCTATGGACCGAGGCATCTCGTTTTGGGTATGGGAACGTCGTATGTTGACCGTCTTCTTGGGCAACGACTCCGAGGTCTCATTACCGAAAGCGCCTTGGCTCTTGCTCTTCGATAGTACGTTCTCCAGGGTTTGCCTGCAACAAGAAACGCCACTGAACATTCATTCTTTGCGATTTATTCTATAAAAAACTAGTATCTGTATTATATCCACGTTTTGGATACTAATATGAAAATATTGGCCTTCATTTCCCTACTTTTAGGGAAGTAAAAATTCAAGGATGAATACAGGCTAAATCTGAAGACATTTCTTTTCCTGTGTTACCACGTGTTAGTGTTAAATTGGAGGCTAAATTTACATACGTATACATCGCCTGCTTAGATCACATCACCCAGCGAAGCAGCCGCGAATGAAAGTCTTTTTAGATTTCATTTTTAGATAAACGAAACAGCATCTATCACGATCATCTAGTGAGCCAGACAATGACTGACACCTCGGCACTTAATTCTCGTCTCATTAAAACTAGTAGGCCACGGACCTTCGACCCGCCGCATAAACAAGTCGATCGTAAAACAACGACACTTTATACCCGCAGCAACGAAAGGAATGAACCTTCCGATGATAACAATGAGGCTGATTATTGATTCAATAGCGAATGATCCTTGAATGATGCGTATGCTTTTGTAGTTGCCGTTTTGTTTGTTCGAAGCGAGATAAAAGATCGACGGTGGTGGTGGTTTTCGAATAATTAAGTTAAGTTCATTTCTCGGTTTATTTAAAACATAAATTAGTGTTCTTATGTATTAAGTCTAATCTACATATTTATTTAAAATATTAATAAAATATCTCAAAGGACTTTGAAGATACCATAAAAAACATTATATCTTCTCCATTTATAGAGGTATATCTCCCTTATCCAATTTTGGAAAAAAGTCTGAAAATATCGAGAGACAATTTAGGACCATATTCAAATACAGTATTTATTTGTGTCTATACAGAGTGTTGCACAATGTTGTTCAGAGAATTCTAGAGCAGATTCTACAACCAAAAATACGAAAAAAACTTCTATAAACGTAGGTCCGCAAATGGTTCCATTTCGAAATAGAGGGTGTCAAAAAAAATAAAAAAATATGTTTTTTATTAATTATTTCTAAATTTTTCACTGGAAATCGTTTAAATTTGGGTTGTTGAAAGATACTCAAGTTACGTAAACAAAAACATTCCCATCCTTAGATACTAATGCCTACTTTTTATGTGTTTATATATTTATCAGCTGAAGGTTCAAGAGCCCTTTGCCCATAAATTAAAAAATGCTTATAAACATACGGAGGTATATTGTAGTACCGGGCTTGTGAAAGACTTTGAGTTTGTAATCTGATTTGATACCGAATAGATGTGCTCTCTGAATAAGTGAATAAACAATATCTTTTAATTATTAAAAGTGTTTTAGTTCTACCCATAATCCCAACATGGGTCAATACTTTCATGGGTTATAATTTGGTATAATCGATTGCGCCTCAGACCCATCAGGGGGAGTACCTATTGATTTTGGACCAGAAAATCTACGCCACTGGTTTTTTTACTTTATTTTAGAGCAAAATAGCCCGTTTGCACATTTGTCATTTAGCGAGCGGCTTTCGAGCTATTGAAGATTTTTTAAAATCATGCTAAAACTTAGTTGGTGACTGTCCCTGAAAAATAACATGGGCTGTCACTATGGAGAAATAAATACCCAAATTTAATTTAGAAATTATCAATAATATAGTTTTTCTTTTTTTTTTGACATCCTCTATTTCGAAAACGAAGCATTTGCGGATATACCTAGGATTTTTTTCGTGTTTTTCGATGTAGAATCTGCTCTAGAATTCTCTGAACAACATTTTACAACACTCTGTATATACATTTATTATAATCTTATTATAAATCTTGAAGTAAATAAGTCTTAACATAAGAAAAATTGCTTAACTCAAGCTTATATTTGAATAGAAATACATATGTGCAGATAAATGTACTGTTGATTTAATGTTTTCTTTTTTTAGTGTATTCGACATTTTTGAAAGTGGATTTTTGTTATAATGAAATATAGTACAATTAATTATTTTATTGTCGATCATGACAAAGTCAAATTTGGTCCATAATTCTTTTGAAAACACCCTGTGATGATGTAATAAATCCCCCCCCCCTTGAACTTATCTCATAATAATTTTGTCGGGGGTCATACTATACCTTCTATTTTTTTCTTGAGGGTGACAAAGTTCTTACAAATTTTCCCTCTTCTAAACATTTTTATAGACGATACTTGTGATTACGTAGATGAACCGTTAGATTAACAAAGAATTTCGGTAGAGTATTTTACCATCGAGACCAAGCATAAAGTTACTGATGAAACCAATCCACATGTTTACACTAAAAATTTATGCTGAAAATGTCTTTCCATAACGACAGGATTTTCACCGCGTAAATGCTGATTGTGGAGATTCATTATCTTACGTTTAGTAAAACACGATTTGTCGTCAAAATAATTTTCTTACGGAGGTTCATATTTCCAGCTCTATACTGACTGACGATCTGCGAGAATTGAAGACGGGCAGTAGGAGTTATTGAACTGGGTGAAAATTTTTGGGAAATGTAGACTATGTTTCTCTACTAATCTGCACTGGTTTTCTCCCATCGTTTCCAGCAATTCTTCTTCCAGTTTAATTAGAGGTAAGTTTATCTATCTGTTTATTTTGATCGTAAAAAACTGTGGTGGCTCTATGTACACAGACACCCTGTATGGATCCTACGCTTAAGTCACCTTTCTTTAATGAATATTATGGCTTGAAAACCTTATGAACAGTTTGCGTAACCACTACACGATAGTACGAGTGCATATTTAATTTACTAGGAAACGTAGTTAACGATTCAATTTTTCTAGCGTTCTTCCTCGTATTTCCAACGTGAAAATAATGAGAATTAATCAAGTACAAAGTTTTACTGCATAGTGCATTATAACCACATCCTGCTACGTTGTTATTTTTACAAAGCGAATGCAAGTACGTATACATTTTATTTCAACAACAATGCGGCGCAACATCTTTACAATAATAAGGTCCTAAAAGGCTATTTGCCAAACGCCTAAGTGGATTTCGTCTGTTTTGTAATTTTCGCGGCGAGTGGAAGACGCTTTCTCCCGATAAGTGACACATTTATTTGATTTTAGGAGTACGACCGAGAGGTTGTAGTTTCTTTTGGGTAAGGCCTTTGGCGTTGTGGCGAAACTTAGTAATCACATTGCGAGATATTCAAATTCGATGACTTGTAAAAAGTAAGTGTCACAGAAAGCTGGGGCTACAAAAACGTGACGTCTCGAAACGCAAAACGGGAGTGGTAGGTCAAATGTTACGGATTCATTAAAAGTTACTTTAAAAAAATGACCTCAAAACAGCACAGATTGGGTTAATTTGAACATTTTCTTCTAAACGTTGTACAAAGATGAGGGCTAATAACTAGAAATAATTTTCAAGTTTACCATTAAATTCTAATTACTTAATCCGTCTTAAGAATTAATCTACGTTAATCTGACAAAATCAACAAGTTTGTTTATAATACTTATCATTGTGGACTTCATAAAAAGTAATCAGATCGGAAAGCAAGTGCTCGAACGGATTCGACAGTAAACAGTCGTTCGGATCATTATGAAAATAAATTATTGTTTGCACTGTACTAGGCGAATCGATGGGACAAGTGTTGATTTGCATCGCCGATCCATCATCCTGATGTCATTATACGCGATCTCAGTCGATGATAAGCCTATTTGAATAATAAATAAATAAGAAGCACAATGCAAAATCTACCTGTAGACAAAATGAAGACAAAATCAAATAATAAAATATTGTATAGTATTTTTATAATAATTAACAATTCTGAAACACTTAATTTATCTATCAATAAATTGATATCGTATCAGGTACATAGTGAATTAAATCCATTCGGGGAATATTCGTGAGAAAATGCTGTTATCGTTCGAGAATTAACAACAATAAAGTCATAATTTATACAGGCTGATATTAACGCATTTATTATCAATGTAAAACTCTATATGCATGAAAAAAGAGCGAATTGCCGAGCGGCTTTTGCCTGACCCTGAGAAAATTTATTTATAACGCTGTTTTGCGCATCCTACTTCGTTAGTTGTAAAGAGCAATTTAATTTCAACTTTTTTGAAAATTTTCTTTTTCGATACGTTTCTTTGGATCAATTAGAACCCATATCTATTATATTAAATTCTAAAATTAACGTTTAGTAATTAAACAATTAGTTGCAAAAAAAAACGTCGAAATTAATTAACAAATACCGCGAGCAACAATTTCACGATCAATAAATCGGCCTTTGGTAGACATGTTGATCGTTGGAGCGTGTCTTTTCCATAGCTTTCATCAAGATCCATAGTTTTTATGCAATAATTTTGGAAAACTGATTTTTCCGTGTTCGACTTTTATTTTACAGTTAACTAATAGATGAAAAGTGACTTCAGGTACCTTAAATTGTAGGTAATCTAATTGCCTACAATATAAAATAACCAATTTTCCGATACGTCGTCTAGAATTTCATGGGCAGTAAAAATAGTGAAAACACACGTAATTTTGCAACATATTTGCAATTTTCCAACTTAGTGTCACTTCTTTCTAGTTACTTTTTTGATAGTATCATTCTATATTTATCATTCTTTATTTTTTTAAGTTCAAACTCTAATTCAACCGGCTAGTAGGGACAAATCTGCAGATAGCACTATACTGATTAAATCAGAAACATAACATGCCCATATCTTTCGATCACCAAAATACATTTGGCTGCTAAACGAAGATATGTTTTTCCACTTACCTACCAGGAATGTCATATCCAATCACTTCGCGACTAATTTCGAACCTCAACTTTCTATTCCCGATCAAACAAACAAACACTCATTCTCTTAAATTCTCGAGCTCAAACTTAGAATGTCAAGTTCTACACTCTGCCATTCATGGGATGGATGGAACTGTCTATTGATAAAACCACAACAGACCTAAAAGGTTTGTTACGACATGAAAAATGGTTTGGATGATTACCGGGACAGATACGACGGGCCACTTCACGTTAAAGCAGTAAAAAGGTAATTACCGGATTAAGGAAATTGTACCAAGTGTGATATGATAACGATTGTTCCGTGACGGGGGGTTATGTTGTTATTGTTACCTGTACCGAGTAATCTTTAATACCTCCTTAATTGTCTGCAATAATTATAATAGATGTCAATATAATCTAATTTTGTGTAAGGTTGGCTTGTATAGAGATTATAACACTTATCACTTACACTTTTATTAATATTTTCAACCTAAGTATGCATAGTTTCCAGAAAATGATTTTCTATCAGAACATTGCTCTATGTTTGTCTTTATCTTGCAAATTTCAAAGTTTCTCAATTAAATTTGTGTTTAACTTTCCTACAATCAACGTCAGTTTTCGTGTTTGTAATAGGTTTCGAACCGAGTTCCAATCACATAAATTCCTTACAAATTTTAATTGATTCAAGGGGAGATTTTAATATTTTCTACGTCACAAGAAATTAGAATAGTGTGTCTGCTATTTTAGAAATGTTGTAACTGGCTTACATCAGAATAATTTGTAGTTTGGTGGTGTTTAAAACGAGAAAAATAGAAAATAACAGTTTCATGTATGGGAAAATGTGCCATTATCGGTAAAAAAATTGTTAAAGGGCGATTTTCTTCGCAATATTGATGCTACAAATACGTTGATGATCCAAACTGGCGATGGCAAACAGAACGAAACTATTAAAATTGTTATATGTCAAAGTTGTACAAACGAGAAGTTCATAAAATATCGAACCCGGTGAAGTCGAGACGTGCGTGCGTCTTCTTCAAGTCTAATCTTTTCCTTTTACGTAATATCATCGTGACGCACACGCAGTCTAAAAGCAGCACGACGCGATCGCCCATCGATTTCCCGGCAGCGTTAAAATGTCAAACGGTAGGGAACTACAAACTATTCTTGTCGCGACTCGTCGGAAGGACCGTAATTAATGAGCTATTCAAGAAGGGGTTCGAACATCTGAAGGAGCGACTAAAAATACGTCATTGCCCCAGCCAGATTATCCGATACGGATGTGGGTGTCCCAGACAGGGTAGACTTTGGGTGGTTTGCCGTGGCATTGCTGGTGGCAGTTTGGGGTTGTTTTTCTGTATTGATCGTGCTCTAGGGGTCACGTACGGTACAAAGATTGCAAGTTTGACCAGTGCAGACAGACAATACGGTCGTTTCTTTTGGTGAACTGCGGCATAAAAAATATAATGGCCTTTTTACACGGTCAAAGAAATGTACATTTTTTGGCCTTGAATTAATTGTCAGTTTATTGAATAAACTAAGAATAGGACTGGCTCTAATTTTTCACCAATTTTCCAGCGAATTCTGGCTACATTTTGATTTAAAGATATAATATCAACTATGTTTATGATAAGTCATTAAACATGATTTAAATTGGTCTCGGTTCTCTTAAAATCATTTATTAACTAAATTTATTGAGTCACTACAATAAAAACAATTGTTTCATTGGAACTGCACCAAATAATAGACGATGACGTACTGATTAGACAGACGCAGAGAGGGGATAATTTCTTTGTGCAAAACTCGACTGTCAAAGGTTACGCTAGACCAAGGTTGGCAAATATCATGATATTTATATAAATATCAAATATCGGATATATATCTTGATATATATCCGATATATATCAAGTCTTGATATTTATTTTTTTTAATTAATTAGTTTATGTATAATATTATAGTAGCGAAATAAAATTAAGAAACTATTTAGGTAAATATTTTTATTCCAAATATCAAAAACAAGAACGAAAAAATAAATATAAATTCTGAAACTATTAAAAAATATTTGCGTGAATATTAAGTACTACGAAAACTAACCAATTTACACCAAGTCAACATAAATTTCATAAATATTAAAACAAATACAAACACACAGCACC